TGTAGAGATGAGGTCTCACCAAGTTACCCAGGCGGGTCTCAAACCCATGGGCTCAGGCAATCCACTCACCTCGGCCTCCCAAAGCGCGGGATTACAGGCTGAGTCACTGAGCCCCGGCTCAAGTCCATTTTTTAGCACAGGTTGAGTAGCCCTTATCCAAAATGCTTGGAACCAGAAGTTTTCAGATCTTGGATTTTTTTCCAGAGTTTGGAATGTGTGCATTGTACTTATCACTGAGCTTTCCAGATCTGAAAATCAGAAATCCAGAATGCTCCACCGAGCCTGTCCTTTGGACATCATGTCAGCACTCCAAGAGCTTTTCGGATTTGGGATGATCGGCCTATATTGTCTGTGTCTGGTTTTGGTATGAGTTGTAAGGCTGGCTGCCCTCAAAAGGGAGTTGGGTGGAACGTGACATTTTAGAGTGATTAAAACCAATTTAAAAATGAGTTGGGGTAGGCCAGGCCTGGTAGCCACACCTAGAATAAGCCACACCGCCGGGCTCGGTGGCTCAGCCTGTCATCCCGCGCCTTTGGGAGGCTGAGGTGAGTGGATTGCCTGAGCCCGCGGGTTCGAGACCCGCCTGGGCAACTTGGTAAGACCTCATCTCTACAATAAATTGAAAATTAGTGGGCATGGGAGCGCGCGCCTGTAGTTCCGTCTACTTGGAAGGTTGAGGCAGAAGGATCGCCGGAGCCCATCAGGTCGAGGCTACGGTGGCCAGGAGCAGCCACTGCACTCCAGTGTGGGCGACAGAGCAAGACTCCAACTCAAAAAAAAAAAAAAAAAAAGAATAAGCCACACCAGCACTGTGGGAAGCTGAGGTGATCGCTTGAGGCCAGGAGCTGGAGACCAATCTGGGCAACACAGCAAGACCTCACCTCTACCAGAAAAACGAAAGTAACTGGGTGTGGTGACACACACCTGCAGTCCCAGCTTGAACCCAGCACTTTTGAGGCTGTGGTGAGCTATGATCACACCATTGCACTCTAGCCTGGACCGTAGTGAGGTCCTGTCTCAAAAAAAGGAAAATGAATTGGGAAGCGTTTCCTCCTTTTGTTTTCTGGTGTAGGTTTATAGAATTGGTATTACTTCTTAAATGTTTGGTAGAATTCAGCAAAACCATCTGGGTCTTTCCAGATTTGTAAAGGCTTATCTTAAGGCCTAGAATATGGTCTGTCTTGGTGACTTTTCTATGCAAACTTGAAAAGATTGTATGTTCTGCCGTTGGGTAGGATGTTAGATAAATGTCGAAAGACCCCAGACAGACAAAACCATGTCAATTAGGTTAATTTGATTTAGTTTTTTTCTCTTACTCTTGCTGATGTGCTTGCTTTTTTATTTTTATTGATTTTATTTATTTTATTTATTTTATTTATTTTTTTTATTTTTTTTTGAGTTGGAGTCTCACTCTGTCGCCCAGACTGGAGTGCAGGGGCCGCTGCCGGACACCGCAGCCTCGACCCGCTGGGCTCCAGCGATCCTTCCG